AAATCATTATTTCAGCAAGGAACCACTCGGCCAGGTAAAATCTGTCTGCCGTATATTTCTGCTTATGTCCATGTATTTTATATTGGGAATTTTGAGGAAGTCGTCCGAGTTGAATCTTACTGGGTTCGGCCCTGTATTTGTTAGTGGTATCGACTTTAGAAGCTGGAAGTGTCGTTTCCTAAAGATAATCAGGAATCCGTTCTCTTGTTATTTTGTCTTTCAATTGATTGTGATTTTGAAGGTAATAAGGAATGGACTTGATATAGAAGTAACTCAGTCAAATCTAAAGCCAACGGCCATACCATGCTGAAAACACCGGTTCTCGTCTGATCACCGCAGTTAAGCAGCATTGGGCGTGGTTAGTACTTGGATGGGTGACCGCTTGGGAACATCACGTGCTGTTGGCTTCATTTTTTTTTCACGTGTTTCTCCAGCACACACAGTCTCGACACAATACATTTTCGCGTCAGAAGCCACCGGACGGTGAAGTTAACCACTCTAACGACAAGTATGAATTTAATTTGCTAGATGGCTCCACTATACAGCGGCTTCTGGAAAATCCTGATGACGTCATAAAGTGGGTGTGGTATCAATGCACAGCAGTGACAGCGCAGATGGAGTAGTTACTATTACGACGTGGAAGACATTTGAGAATCTACCTGGTGAGTGTTCAAATTAAAACTCTGTACGAGTTGGGTTTCCCCATGGAGCAGGGAACTTATCCAGAAATTTGTAAAAAGGATTCATTCGTCAGTGGGTCTAGTTGAACGCAGATTTAATTATTATTTTGTCGACTATAGGATGTGGTACAATCATTAACATAGCAACCAGTACAATTTAAAATATTAGTTGGGTTTAACAAACATGAAATATTAAAACAAGTCCACTGCTGTACAGCAGATTAGTAATACTAATGATTGATACTATATGTATACTATAACCTTTAAAAGAATTGTCTATTCTTAAACTGTAGGAATTCATCAACAGAATGAAAGGTGTATGTATTTAGGTATGTTTTTAATGGTGTCATAGATTTTAGACATTGTGGTAACACCGTGTATAGTTGGATTTGTCTGAAAAAGTTCTAGATTGTTGCCAGTGAAGTTTATTAATGAAAATATATAGTCAGAAGGAAGAATTAAAATTCCTAGTTTCTTTAATAGGCTTTTACACGAATTTATATGTTTGCCAATAGCCATGATTATTGCATTTACATACTTATTTCAGGTGTGCTGTTCCTTCAAGGTTTAACGTTCAAAACCGCATGAATTTATAAGTTTTATTGCGTGCTTTTCGTCCACCTTACACCTCCCCCCCCAATTACGATTAGGTCTCTGTGAAAGAAAAAGCGATTGGGGCCATTGTTTTTTCCCCGCAAATATAAATTTATTTGTAGTTGCGCTTATCTTTTGTTTGTAATTCTGTCGGGCTCTAGAAACAAATCCCGCCGACTTGAATAGCTCTGTACCGTCCCTCAGACGCTAAGATAATGTTTTTAGAGCGTCGGTAAATACTTCATTCAAGGATTACTGGCATTAATACATTAAAAAGAAACATGTATTAGTGAACGAGCCTGGTTCACAAAGAGACAAGAAGTTCATTGTTACAATTTGAAGAACTGCAAACATGACAGAATTTTAATTTATTCTCCTGAATTACTGTTAATGTTATAATTAGTGTTTAATGACCCTGTGTAGCAGCCAGCATCTCGCAAGGATTGCGTCTGTGCTGCAAGTTTAAACGGTGTGTACGCAACACAAAGCCGTAGAACACAAAATAGCTTCATTGTGCAACTCATTGACGAGAACTAGATAATACATTCAGCTATAAATTATGCAATCTCAGAGCGGAAGGAGGAAGTGGCCAGACAGAAGTCTCATTGTCGAGAGAAGGCGGAATTTTGCTTTATATCGATAGCCAAGAGGAAAAGTTAGGTTAGGTTTATTTCACGAATTCCCAACCACATTTTCGTAAATCTTTAAAACAATAGACTTGGTAACTGGTAGCAACAGTATTAATAGTTGTAATTTTTTAAATGTATAACAGTATAGTAAATTACTTCGAGACGCGCACTAGCCGTTTCTGGAAATTAATGAAAACATTTTATTCACAAAAGTTGTGTCAGCAGACGTGTGGGGGGCGTCCAGACATCTCACCGATGGCAAGGTGCGCAGTTTGTGTGGAAGAATGGGGAACAAGGACAACGGAATATTCATTACCTCACAAAAACGTCATACAAAATTGTAATTTGTTATCGGACTCAGTGGATTTTGACAACCCATAGACATCACTAGTCGACCAACAATTGTCATTGTAAATTCTGCAGTTTTTAATGATAGTCTAATGATTAAATTTCTGAAATAGGTACTGTGAAGACTTTTATTGTTTATAATCCATACGAGAACGACTGTCGTGTTTAAAACGTGAATTCCTAGAGCTGCAGATGAAAATTTTTGAAGACATGGGGTCATATTCGCCCTCTCTTATCGACTCACGGGTCTAAGGGTTGTATGTTATGACAATGCCATGGCGTCGACAGGATTTTTCCATGGGGGAGGGGCTGCCAGAAAATTTGAATACAAACATACATTTAAGCATTAAGTTCTTTAACACTCTTGTATTCATTGTAGTTTTTTAGTAATTGTTTTATTACTAACTTTCGTTTAAGCCACAAGTTGTCAAACACCGATCAATAAATGTGATGTATTGCCCATGATATTTGTTACAATGTCTCTTAATCTGTTATTTTTAAAGAAAAAGTCTTTGTAAATGATCGCTTTAATTTCAAAAAATCCAAATCATGTGTTTGTAATTAACATATTCTTTAAATATTGCAAATGAAGAACATTAACACAATGTGCTTACATAATGGACTCATACGCAGATGGTCACAAGATCAAATCATATCGTCAGGTTTTTTTTATTGTTCATGCAGCCACCATCGTTTTTCTTTACATTACTACACCATTTTATATTTACGAAAAGTCTGTTGCCAGACATCATTGTATGGCCCCACAGTAAGTGATACTTGTGACAGTCCCACCTCACAAGTTGGCATGCCTGACATGTTGGTATTACCAGCTCTGTAGGAAATTCATCTAGCGGTTTTCGAGTTGAATCATGCAGGCAAGTGGATAAACGTACAGACAAACATGGCCAACCTTATATAAAGAATGCATAAAAGGCTGACCTATGATAAAATTATAAAGGGACTAACCAGGGTAATGTAAATTTTCATTTATGACTTCTGACCATGAGATGGTTTGTTCTCAGAACAATGAGTGATGACTGTGGTGGCGGCGGCGGCGATGGAGGTGGCGGTGGCGATGGAGGTGGCGGATGTGATAGCTCATATCACTGTGACTCCAGCCACAATGATTCTAGTCACCATGACTCCAGCCACAACGATTCTAGTCACCATGACTCCTGTCACAATGATTTCAGTCACCGTGACTCCAGCAAACACGATTCCAGCCACCGTGATTCCAGCGACTACGGCTTCAACCATGACTACTCATCACATGACACTGGAGGAGATGATGGTGGCGACAGTGGCTCAAAAACAAAGGAGAAAAGGCGGAAGAGAGAAGTACTCCACCAAGAACAGGATTGTTGCGTTGTCCTATGAAGTTGTCTGTACTGTGTGTCATCTCATAATCACGATCAAGAAATAACAAGTTCTTTGCTGAAAATACAGCTTTTGCCAGTAATGCAATGCTTGAAGCATTCACCTAACCTAACCTAATATTAAGAGGACAAAATCTACTTCTGTTCACAACTACCCTGCAGATGTGAGGTAGAAAGAGTACCATACTTGTCATGTGGTCATGGAAATGCAAAAACACAAATTTCAGTGTAATAATTCTGTAAAAATAGTAAGTTCTTGTGTAATATAATGTTTTGAACATGCTTATCATACTAGAGCAGCACATGTGCCAACTAAATGTTGAGAATATCCCTTGATATCTTGCAATATTTATAAGCACTACATTTTCACATGAACCACAAACAAAATGTAGCTACAAGAATCACCGCTACATAGTCTAACCCAGTGGTATTCAACCTTTTTTGTTCGCGTACCAACAAAGTTGTTGGTGTATAATTCACGTTATACATAGTATATAATCTACATCTAAAATAAATTAAAAAAATTACATCCAAAATAATGTATTAAATAATAAGTTTTAAATGAGAAAAAGGAGAATCAAGCTATTAAATAACAAATATATTATTGCCAATGATATAAAAATTAATAAAGGAACAAAGGTATTTTAGCAAAGCAAAATTATGTGTTTAAATCCTGCCTATTCAGTCAGGTTCCAAAGCACTATGTGGAATAAAATGAAACGAGCCGCCCAGATAATCACAAAGGAGAGCGAGAGAGAGAGAAAATTGCGCTCTCCCAAATCGAATGTCCTTACGTCCGGTTCTCCTGTGGCTAACCCTAAATCTGGCCCTGATTATTCAGTGTTTATCGTAAAATAATATTATTTTTTTAAAAATTTCATGTACCCCAGGTTGAATACCACTGGTCTAACCCATCCAGTATGGATACAGACTTGGTGCACGTGCACAAATCGTGTTCCCACAATCTACTATGACAGAACTGCTGACAATGATTGAATTCCTTGCGAAGAAAAACTAAACTGTAAAAAGTCTACGAGTGACTTCATTCTACAGAGATGCATACATGTGCACCGGCAGTTTCAGAATGTAGGTGAAGCACTTTAAAGACAGAAACATTGACATCGCCAGTCAGCCGAGCTGTGATTCACCAAGAAGTGTCGTAACTGCTTGCAACAAGCACAAATTTCATGTGTTCATCAGATACGACCAAAAGGTGACAGGAAAACTGTACAGCAGCCTGGCATAGGACACTTTTGCCATTTTGCAATGCGGGAGGTGACTCCAATTTCGGAACATCAGGAAGTCTGTTTCCATCAGGTTACCTGCTTGCTTACCGAGTAACAACGGAAGACATGCATCCTATGTCATCACAGTTGAATGCTGCCAAGTGTAACGACTTGTTCATCAACGTCATATCTGGTGATGATACTTCATTCCACCATTTTGAACCACAAACAAAATTAGAGCTTACTCATCGCCCTGATGATAGAAACAGCAAGCACCTCTGAAACATCGGTAAACTTCTACCAGACTGTGTGGTGCAACCACCCAGATGACATCTGTCTCCTTACTTACTGCCATGAGAAAGAAGTCTCACAAAATTAAAGGACATGAACTGGCTTCGTACGACATCTCCAAAAGACGAACAGTAACCTCAACTGGCATAGATTGTGGAGTACCGTGTGACAGACAAATGACCTTATAATGTGCATCTGACATGGGAGAAGATCATGACCTCTGGTATGACCTTTTTAATATCATGCATCCTGCAAAAGGTTTGTTCAGAATTAAAAAAAAAAAAAACGCATCCACTCACTGGGCTTTCATTACGAGTTTTATTCAACATGCGTGCTGTGATGATTGTATTAAGATAATCTTAAGTATAATTTTATATTATCATGTAGCTTCTATACAAAATGTATTTGCTTTCATGTTTATTGTACCAGAAAATTTTAAAATATTTTTGAACTTCGATTAAACCATTAAAAATGTGCGTGTGTATGCACAAGTTCTGAGCTGTGATAAATTTATGATATGATTTCAGGCGATGTTCCTAAATAGTGTGACAGTTTGATGAAACTGTACGTAGTGTGTAATTTAGACATTTTTTAAGATATTGTAGGTGCGTCATATTGTGATTTATTTAAATAGTATTAGAAATATATTAAAATTGGCCGTCATTCACAATATAAGATAATTAAAAGATTAAAATATCATTTTTCGTTCCTTATCAAGTACTCGATTTACATGTGGAACATTTACGACATGTTTCAGCTATCAATAGAGCCATCATCAGGTGTTATGTTACAAATTTTTTAACTGAATTACTGAATTTTAATGATTTTTAGTTTTCATTTTTCTTATCATTTTTCTCATCCTTCATACAATCATATTAGTGACATGTGACACAACAATGGATGAAGATACAATATGAAGGATGAGAAAAATGATAACTAAAAATCATTAAAAAATCAGTAAAATTCATTAATTCAGTTAAAAAGTTTATAACATAACACCTGATGATGGCTCTATTGATAGCCGAAACATGTCGTAAATGTTCCACATGTAAATCGAGTACTCGATAAGGAACGAAAAATGATATTTTAATCTTTTAATTATCTTATATTGTGAATGACGGCCAATTTTAATATATTTCTAATACTATTTAGACATTTTTTATATATAAATTTGAAACATCCTGAATATATTTTGTTTAGATATGACAAACAGTTATCTTGTTAGTATGTGGTTAGGTCCATCCTCTGTGAACTACAAATTGGATATAAGTTGGAGGTAATTAAATTTGTGTAAAACAAGCAATTCTTGTGTTTATATTTTTAGTTTT